ACACAGGCCCCTGGCCCCAGTAAAACATACATGTGTGCAGCACCCACAGACTAAGACTTAAGAATCCATGGCTTAAAGAGGCAGAATGGCCCTAGATTAAGACAAGTTCAGACTGAAAATGTTACTTCTATTAAAGAAAGGATGAGTCCGTTGGAAAGATTTATCTGCTGTTGTAAACAAAGCAGAGAGAGCCACTGAGGCACAGACTGGTGATGTTCACCCCAGGACAGTCCAGGATAGAGAGTCTAGGCCACGGGACCTTGACGTTCTCACTGTCCGACCTGGCCTTGCGCAGCACAGGCTTGGTCTAGTTGGAGGATGCAGCTCATGATTTCCTGCAGACCCCCTTGCTCTGACTCCATGCTCGCCTAGCAATCCCCTGCTGGAAGTTGGTGCAGATCTGCCCGGAGGGACAGTGTGTTCTGGTCCTGCCAACAGGAACATGACAGCATATAGGGCAGGGCCTGGACACTGCCCTCACAGTCCTCAGGGGGGTGAGTAAACTGCACTTTGCTTTACACATTGGTCTCATAAGCTGCTGTAAACCCACCTTTGGGAGACAGACCCACTGTCAGGGTGCTGGAAAACCAGATTCTCAAGCCCGTAGGGCTGTCTAACTAAGATGCCAAAATACCAGCTGGTGTCTCCTGGCCGCACTGGAATGGCCTTGTGCCCTCCCACTGGAAATGACCACACTCACCTTTTACAGGGCATTGGATTGTCACGCTTGCTCGCAGGGGTGCCTCCACGATGCCTCCAATCACGACAGAGAGATGATCGTGCTTCGGTCTGGTGATATTTCTTTCAATAGACAAGATGACAGGCGCCTCTTAATTCAAAGGGAGCAGGAAACTATGTTAGGTTCAGGCTTTTGCTCTTGGCAAACTGTGCTGCATTTGGTAAACTTCGCTGAGCTCTCTCAGAGCAGGAGCAGACTCCTGGCTCTCTCTGTATCCCTTGCGGTGCCCCAGGGGGAACCTGCACATCCACAGCCCAGGGGTGCTCAGTGGATGGATGGACAGATGGATCCATTCGAAGAGATATCTACAAAGATGTACTGCAACAACCATATGCAGACATGAGGATATTTTGGTTTTATAACCAAAACTGAGGATAAAGTCCTCTTTCATAATTTGCAAAAGAAGGAACTCAGAAGTTCATAAGAAACAAAGAAGGTATGGCAGGGCAGGCACAGTATCTCTGACGTGCAGCTGTGGATGAGTTACAGCAGGACCAAAACACACCAGGGTTTGGGACCACCTGCCTCTTTTTCTGGAAGGAAAACTTGAAACAAACCTGCATAAAACTTGCATGGAAAAAAATAATAAAAACAAGGTTGCAAAAAATCAGGATCTGATACAGACTTTTATTTTCCTGGATTTTAAAACTATGTGCTTTCACCAGATTCATTCATGAACTGACTCAGGAAATGAGTCTGAGTTGGACAATGGGAAGACAAAGTTGGAAAACAGCCATTCTTGACCTCAAGCTACACACAGACTGGTGGGAGACACTATTACCATACAGGGCGATGGGTGTCGAGACAGAGAAAGGTGCTGGTTGACCAGGGGTCTCTCAGCAGCATGTAGGGGGTCAGGGAAGGCAACACTCCTCTACTGTAGAACTATTGCCATGGTTGGTTCCCTCTTCTACCATTAGCATGTGAGCTCCTGGAGGGAGAGGTCACACTTCCTTAACCTGTTTTATCACCCATGCATCATACATGAAAGAATAACATTTTAAGCTAGCTGTTTGGTAATCATGTATCCTGGAGAAGAGAATTCAGGAATGATTACACTTAGGTGACCAAATGTTCTGTTCTCTCCTGGAGTGCCTGGGGTACTGAACCGCTAACCTGAGAATGGAAAAGATAGGAACTCTTGGGCTGGGAAAGGGCCAGAGTTGTCACATGTCCTCTGGCCTCTGAGGATCTTGCACCAGCTTTCCGTTGAATCTGGACTGTTCTGATGTGGACTTAAGGGGAGACTTGTGAGCTACAACAGAGACTTCTATTCCTCCCAGGAATTCCAGAACCTTGGAACTGATGTTTTTGGAAAGGAGCAGATCCTTATAGGAGCGAAAAATCCAACAGGATGAAGGCACAGAAAATCAAGGCTGAAGACTCCACCTTGGGAACTCAGTCAGAAGAGGGACTTAGCATCAAGCTATACAGATTCAAGGAGCTTTCAAAATCAACTGGTCCAACCTCCTCAATTTAAAGAAGTGATTTACTGGCCATAAAGCTCAATGCTTAGTCATCTAAATGCTGGATTGCAATCCCTGATACTGTCCCTCATCTCATCTTGGTTTACTTGAGCCACAGACACCAGAACCCACAGAGTAGACAGTTAAAGGATAACTCTCTTATTTTTAATCCCAGAACATGAGCTTGCCACAAGGAAGCATTGCTTAAAACTTTGCCACCTAAAAATATTCCGTCATAATAAAAGCACACTTTAATATTAAAATGACTTTGTCTACCTCCTAGGACAATTCACACTAACTTAGAGTGACAACTTCCTGAAAGTGTTTCTAAGGATTGGCGGCTATACCATTGGGAGGTATAGAGCAAACTTTAAAGGGTACTTACCGTCTTTCATTGGCTGGTGGCACTTTAAAAAAGAAAAATCCATACTATTAACACTGCCAGTTAAACCCCGTCTCATTAATTCCCAGTTCTTAGAAAGTGAACTCTAGAGTAGTTGTTTTTAAAGTGTGGTCCTCAGGCCAGCAGCACTGGCACAACGTGGGAACATGTTAAAAAGGCACATTCTCAGACTCCATCCCAAACCTGCTGCATCCGAACCTCTGGGAACGGGTCTAGGGAATCTGTGCTTTCACAAAGCCCCCAGGGGATTCTCTGGCACGCTGAAGTGTGAAAACTGCTGCTCCCGAGTTTCATGTTAAACACAAAAACAAAGACCAAGCATTCCAGGTTTCAACAAGAGGCATTACCTGCATACAGCACGGGAGAACTTTCCGCATCTGAACCGTGATGATTGGCTACAGAACAGCCATATATTCCTTGTTCTTTCTTCGTGGGTTTCTGTATCTGCATTTCCCCCATTCCATCCAAAACGACTCTATAGAACAGTTAGAAAGAGGATGCATTCATGTAACGCACTTAACCCCTCTAGAACCACAGCAACTCACAGAGAAAGAAGACGGCAGGCATGATTGACCTGGGGCCAGCAAGGATCCCAGAAGGTGATCTTGTCAAGCTTCCTGCCTATATGCAGGAAACTCCGGAGACTGGAGGGTGGAAAAGTCTCTCTTCTTGGCTTAAACTCGTTGTAATGGTACAGCCGGACTGTGCTTGGAGATGGTCTTCCCATCTCACTTTGCGTGAGAACAGACTTTTCTGGATGGATTCAATGCTTAACCCACCATATTTTAAAAAAAGACAAATGAGCAAACGTTAGTTTGCTGAATGTTAAGCCCTCTTTTTCTCCCCAAATCCTTCCTAACAAACTGCAGATGTTGGATTTTCAGTTCAGATGTTCACCGTGGAAGGGAGTGGACCTTTAGTCACTGTTGCCTGGCGGTGGTCACTGTCTTACGATCACTGCGTGAAGAAGTCAGTGGAGGTAACAAAGCCGAAGCTGCAATGTATTGGATTTTGACTGCACGGTTAAGAATCAGGGCTAAACTGTGTGAGCGCCTTATGGTTTCCCATTTTCCGATCTTCATAAACACCTGCATGTAAATGCCACTTTGAGAATCAGAGTCCGTCCGGTGCATCCTTACAGATGAGATGATTATTCAGGGAATGGGAGAGAGGGCTTGTTCTGCTTGAATTTTAATTTTTTTTCTTAATGATTTGAAACTGCTTCTAGCGTGTCTAGACCAGTGGTCCATAAACTATTTTTTTCCCTGCCTCTTCCCACTTTACAGATCTTAGCTATTATGGACTGTTCTGACGACTAAATATTGCACGTTTTTTCGTGAATCGAACTGGGCCACTTCATTTCCTGTCATTTCACGTGGCTCACTAGCCTTATGCTCCAGCCATAATGAACCTCAGAGTTTCCAGAACATTCTGTGATCTTTCATCACCCTGAGCTGTAGCGTACGTTGTTCCCTTTATTTGGAGGGCTCTTCCCCATGTCTGGCCAACTCCGACTTACCCACTGAGTCCTGGGGCAAATGTAATTTCCCCTGTAAAGCTTTCCCCAATGCTCCCAGAGTTATCTTCTGCCCCCTCTGGGCTCTTTCCGCTCTGGTTCACATGTTCACTTAATGAAATATCTTTCTCTTCTCACCCGATTGTGATCTTTTCAGGAGCAGGGACCAAATCTTATTCACAGCTGTACATTTTGAATGCTTAGTACAGTTCCTTTTATACAGCAAGTTTTTAAAAACACTTAATGACTAAATCTGTGAATGATCAGAGCAGAGTAACGGTCGAGAGTAAATGCACCAGGAGGATGCAAGCTCCCCAGCAACACACAGATGAAATACACAAAGGTGGGCGGGACTCAAAACAGCCGAGCTGCCCAGAACGAAAACAGGAACGTGGCAGACCTAGTCATTACTAGGGCTAGCCTTTCTCTGTCAAATCCCTATTAAGGAATAGTTAAGAACAAAAGTGTAACTCATAACCAGACTTGACAAACGTTTATACACTAAAATGTTTTCTTAAATTATTTCACATATATGACTCCTTTGTTTTGTTGGCCTCACTTTAACAGCACAGTGAGAAATCACTGAATCAAGGAATAGTTGAGCACACATGAACCTTCCTGCCTGGTGGAGCCGCCCAGTATCTAGCCTGAATCAGTCTGCAGGCTGGAGAACCAGCAGGTCGAGTTCTTTAAGGAATCCGATCTTGGCCTCTGCTGCACAACCTTATTCTCAGCCTGAAGGGATAACAAAGCTGATCTTTCCATAGGCATCATCCCCAGTGAATCCATCCACAGCCTTCCCTTCCTCGCTCAGATATCTTACTCAGCTGGCATCCAAACATACTCCACGCCTACACTGTTCCCTCTTATCAGAGAGAGGCTTTCAGAAATGTAATTCCATTTCTGACTTAATTCATTTGAAAAGATCTATGAGATTCAGAAAATTCATCTAAAGGTGAGAACCTTTGCTACATAAAGAAAATGAAACATAAGTTGAAAAAACTAATCAGGTAAGGTTGAGAAAAAAATGGAAATACAAATAGTTCTTTTAAAATTCTCTTAAGAATTAAAAACAAAAACTTTTATGAGCCATATTGGATGTCTTCGATATTAAATGGTTGATCCTTAAAGGGTACAGAAACACATTTGAGTGGAAGGCATCATGTGAAAACCTCTTTATAGGATCTCCAGGAGACTCAGCCTCAGAAGCTAATGTTAATTCCATCTGAACAAGTCAAACTATTTACAATAAACGCAATTGAACAAACATTGACTTAAACTGACCCTGCTCTGCTTCCTCCCTGTAGCACTTTATGCCACCGGTCAACTGATCAACCTTCTCAGCCTCTGTTTCTTGGTAAGTTTCTGAAGTGAACTTGTTGGGGTGTCCTCAAAGGGTGGTCCAAGGAGCCCAGGGGTCCATGAGGTCAAAACTATTTTCATAATAGTAAGTACTAAGCCACGATTTGCCTTTTTCACTGTGTTGACATTTGCACTGGCAATAAACGCAGTGGTGGGCAAACTGCTGGCACTTAGACAGGGACCAAGGCCATGGCACCAAAGGGTACCAGGAGTCACTGTATTCTTCTTGCCACCACACATTTGCAGTAAAAACAAAAATGCCGGATTCCCTTAGGAATGTTCTTCATGAAGCAGTAGAACGTATTCATTTTACTAAATCTCAGCTCTTGGGTGTATGTTTTTAACACTCTGTACAACAAACCAGGAAGTAGGCACAGGGCACTTGCGCCACGTGCCGAAGGATGCTGGTGCGATGGTGTGACCTGCTGGCGGAACCAGCTGCTTTCTCTGTGGAATCCCGTTTCTGCCTGAAAGAACGACTGGCAGACACACTATGGTTATTCATATTAGGGTATTTGGAAGCTGTTTTTCTCATGGACAGAAATGAGCTGGCCAATTCAAGGAAAACAATGGACAATATTTGTTGCAGATGATAAAAATTCAAGCTTTCAAGTGAAGATCAGAATTTGGAAAATCGGTAACCTTCGATTTGACTTTGCTTCCGTAAACTCAAAGACTTCTCTGAAAAGCTGGGTAGTAATATTAAAGAATATACATTTTTTTATATTATATAATGAAATGTGTCAATATTTGGAAGATGTGTAATTCAGTGAGCCAATATTTCCCCAAAGATCAATGTATGATGTTTAAAATCTTGTGTAGTTAAAAGATGAATTCAAAGTGCAGGATAAACCAATAGATTTCATTGTAACTGAGTACCAAAATCTCATTAGTATAGTTTTGGATTCCACACTCCAACTAACACTTAAGAAACTACCCCTTGTCTAGTTTTAGGGTAGGATTAAAGAAGAATGGCCATAATTACCTGGAAAGGCTGTGAAAATTTTCCTTCTCCTTCCAACTGACATATCTGTATGAAGCCAACTTTCCTCCATAAACTTCAATTAAAACAACATATCACAACAAATGAAGTGTAGAAGAATTAAGAGAATCCAGCTGTACTTTATTAAGCCAGACATTGAAGAAATTTGCAGAGATGTAAAATAATGCCGCTATCAGTAATTTTTTTAAATACTGCTTTTCAAAAATTACGTTATTTATGTGAACAAGAATTGGGCTTATTATTGTTATTTCTAAAAGGATTAATAAATAGGTATTTTAAATGTTTCACAGTTTCAATTTCTAACACAGTAAACATCAACAGATATAACTCACATTAACAAAAGTGCTTTGGGGTGTATAGCTCAAAGTGGTAGAGCACATGCTTAGCATGCACAAGGTTCTAGGTTCAATCCCCAGTACCTCCTCTAGTAAAATAAGTAAATAAATAAATACAAACCCAATCACCTCCTCACCCACCCAAAAAAAAGCGCTTTGGGCTTCTCATTTTTTTTTTTTAAGTTTAAAGGAGTCCTAACACCAAAAGAGTTGAGAACTGCTAAGCTAGTTGATACGGAAAGTTTTTTCCACTTTTATAACTTCATTACACTCTTGAGTTCAGAGTTCCAGGCAAAAAAAAATTTTTAATTAAATTTGTTCTGTCTTATCATTCTAAGACATAACCTAATAATTTATTACTAAAAATTGAATTTACCTAGATTTCTTTTCATGTTTGACATATTAAGTGATGCACAAAAGACATACTAAAAATAAAACTTGCATTTTAAAAGCACTTTATGGTTTGCATAACAGTTTAACATCTGATGTTTTGTTAGTGTCTTTTAACAATCCCTAGAGGCAGATAAGGTACCCCTTGAACTCTTAAATGCAAATTGAAAGAAAGCCAAATGTCCATAGTCCTATGTGTACAAACAAGTAAAGGCACAAAAGTGAATTAGTATTTCTGTTATCCCCTGTTTTATGTAAAATGGATGAAACGTAGCATTTTTTGCACCGTCACAGATGGAGATCACAATAAAATCATGTGTGACTTAACACTGTGTTTCGAACATCTCAAAAAAATTTGGTCCTTATCATTTTATTTTTGGATTTCATGACATAAAAAACTACATGATATAGAAAATTACCTCAGATACTCAATCTTTCTACCAAAAAATTGCTTTTGTTGTGATCTTCAAACACTGCTGGCAGTGTTCAGGAGATATGGTCCCTGGTTCTGACTGGCCATGAATTAGTCATGAGATTCTGTTTCTCGACGATCTCATCAGAAACGTGTTAACCGCTGCCTTGCCAAACTCACGGGTCTGGTTTGAGTTCAAATGAGATACCGCATCTCCCAGACGTGGAAGGGCACTGTAAATGCTGATTTGCAGTTCCTACATAATGTAGGATTACTACACGTATGCTTACTTTTTTAACGATCTTATACTGATTTTATTTGCAAAGGTTAAGTGCCCTGCAAAGAGCGAGTCTATATATGTCTAAACTCAGTCTCATAGCATCTTGCATTACATCTGCATGATAGTGATTGGGACAGTATGATCATTTTTAGAATTCCAATGCATATGTGAAAAACATACCCTAACATTTTTGAGGTTCTTTCCTAAAAAGTCCTGTTGGAAAGGAGAAGGAATTTGAAAATATTTTCAAGAAAACTGGAATAACCATTAAGAAGGTGTGACAGAGGACAGAGTGAACACTGGATTCTTTACTTACTTTTCTGAGGGTTGGAGCAGTGCCCCATCCTTGGTCCACGTATATGTGGCCTCACTGGGGGTAACAAGCTCACACAGTATATTGATGACCTCCGTCCTTTTTGTAACGTAGACTGTGTTTCCAATCCTTGCATTTATTGTTTTATTAAAGGAAATCAAGGTGGGCTGGCTTGGTCTCAGAAGAACAGGTCCCTTTGGCTTGAACATCAGCTTGCCTGACTTTTTCACCTTCACGCTTTGGGGGACGCTTCCTGATCCCCCCCTCAGCTGAGCCGCGGGAGGCACCGCTTCGGGAGGCGCCCCCACTGCACGTGTGCCGGCTGCGCCTTAGCTAACTCGGCCACCAGCTGATATATCACCTGGGACGCCAGGTCATCGCTGACCTCTCCGGTTTCCATGAGCTGACTCATGTTTCTTATCAGCTCATCGAACTGGGCGGTATCCATGCTGTAGGCTCCCTGTTTAACCGCTGCTTCAAACTGCTTATTCTTAAGCTCCCAGGAGTCGGTGTTCCCCGCAGAAGGGCCGCAGGGGCCCAGCAGAGCTCTCAAGAGAGGCTGGTTATGAATGTGGTCGTCGTCCAGGTAAAGCTCATTTTTGTTACTCCACATTTGCCTCATTTTATGCCACGTGGCTCCCAAATTATTGGCTTCGTTGGGGTCCCTCCCAGGATACCCCCTCACGTGCTCTCTGAGGGCCGGCGGCGCGATGAGCCGGTTGTCAGTGCCAATGAGCTTGAGGACCACCGTCTCGTGGGCAGAGCCCGCGACGCAGCGGTACGTGCCGATGTCGGGGGCCGCGAGGCTGTGGATTTTCAGGGAGCCCGACTTGGTGATGCCGAGTCGTTTGGAGTTCTGCAGACAATGGCCGTCTTTCTCCCACTGGATCAGCGACTTCTGGAAGCGTCGCACCGGGCACTTAATAATCACCGACGTGTTGGGCAGCAAATAGGCTCTGCTACCGACGGTCAGGTTAATGCGTTTCTCCTCCCTCGTCTGAATGTAGACTCTCTGGACCCCGAGGATCTGAGGACCCTGATCGCCAAGCCTTGTCCTCACCTCTGGTTTCGTTTCTGTGGGGGAAACAAGAAAGAAAAGAAAACACAGAGCAACATCTCAGTAATGAAAACTTTTTGACAGTCATCTTCCAAGGCTGACACAAGTCAACAAATGGATCTTCTTTTTTCCTTTTTATTTACTTGTTTATTTTTTATTGATTTACAATGTTGTGTTAGTTTCTGGTGTACAACATAGTGATGCAGTCATACATATATACATATATATATATTCCTTTTCGTATTTTTATTTATCTTATTTTTAAAAATTGTTTTCCCCCTTTTAAAATATTTG